TGGGTCGAAGTACCTGGATCTGCACAAAAATGTGCAGAAGAGTAGTATAAGCACGCCAAATGGTACACACTAAGTATCAAGCCTAACCTCGGTAAAGTAGTGATGAGGCCAGGTCAAGACACCTACTAGGATAAAAAAGAAGAAGTTGAACAAGTATAGTACATTCTAATAATGGAAACGAGAAAAATGAGGCAATAAAGCAATACAACAGGATAAGATACAACTGAATTTAAAGCAACAAAGGCAACAAGGAAGGAACACATAATAAGAACATCAAGAAAATAATACGTACAAATACAAGTGAGGTAAATGAGAGATAACAACAAGAATCACAACTGAGGTACCGTCTCGTAATCTCATTTCACAATCACAATCACAATCACAATCTTTCCTTACACCGTCGAGTGAGCCTTACCATTAGATAGTTTGAAAATAATTTTTTTCCGAAATAGCTACACGCACTTTAGCCCATCTTATGTCGCCGCGTGGTTTCAAGTAATTCCCTTACTAGCAACACACATATAAATCCCACCTTATACTGCCACATGTACATTAACCCATATCCTTACACCACTGCATGCGCATCAATATCATAACATAATCACAACTCACACCACAAGTGCCCATATGTCATAACTTACCAAAAGAAATAACAATACCCATATTTCCATATCAACAAGCCCATAGCTCAACCACAATGTATACAAGGATCTCAACAATAACAAAATAATGGTGAATAGCTCAACAAGAATGATATCTCAACAATTAACAACTTCGCCTCAAAGTGATAATGGCTTTTACAACTTCAACACCATTTGCTAAACAAGAGATATTCCATGAATTAACAACTTCAAGTAAGTAATTCCCCAATTTAAGAAGTAACGGGACAATAAGGAAGGCAATAATTTCAACTAAAGCATATAAGAGCAAAATAACAAGTAAGAGGTGGAACAAATGTTAACAATGTTAAATAAGGCATAAGAGGGTAGATTAACAATGTAAGATATAACATGCTATGACAATTAGATTAAAGGCATGAAAAAAGTCTAAATAACCTAAACCGGTCAAATACCACATATAGCATGTGTACCCACTCGTCACCTTGCGTACACGACTTTCACATATCACAAATAATATAAATAACTCTAATCTTAAGGGGTAGTACACAAACAAGCTAACTCAATCCACTAGTAAGCGTTTTCCGTTAATATCCAACTCTAGACGGCTCGAATCTAACTAAAATAACTTAATACCATAAATACAAACCATACTCAATCCCGGGCCCGCATCTCAGAACCTGACCAAACTTATAAAATCCGAATATCCATTCAATAACGAGTCCAACCATATTAAAATCATCCAATTCTGATCTTAAATTGACCTTCAAATCCTCAAATTATAGCTTAGTAAGTTATCACAAAATTTTTCAATTTTTCCAAATCAAAACACTAATTAAATGATAAAAATAAGGACGGATTCATATATAATAATTAAATCCGAATCCAAAACACTTACCCTGATCAACTCCTTGAAAATCCCTTCCAAAATCGCAAAAAATCGAGCTCTCTAGCTCAAAAGATGAAAAATAACTCTAACCCTCGATCCACCCCTTTTCTGCCCAGCTATTCCGCATCTGCGAACCAATAGCCGCTTCTGCGGTCCGCACCTGCAGAAAATCCATCGCAGGTGCGACTTTTCATTAAGCCAGGAAAATCGCTTATACGGACCGTTGTGCGCATCTGCGCTTGCGCTTCTGTGGAACACAACTGCTTCTGTGGAGAAACGACCACACCTGCGGTCACAACTCGCCCAACCCCCAAATCTAGCTTTTGGGCTCTCATGGCGTTTCTGCAGTGCCGCACCTGCGGCCCAAAGTGCGCAGGTGCGATTGCACCAGAACCTCAGCTAGACAGAAGTTATTCTAAGTCCAAAATAATTCCGAATTCAATCTAAATCACACACAGCGCCCCCAGGACCCCGTGTAAACATACCATCAAGTCCCAAATCACATAACAGACCTGCTCGAGGTCTAAAATCACATCAAACAACATCAAATCTACGAATCACAACCCAATTCAAACCTATTGAATCCATGAACATTCAATTTCCAAAACTAACGATGAAACATACCAAACCAACTCTGAATGACCTAGAATTTTGCATCCAAGTCATAAATGACACAACAGACCTATTCCAACTTTCGAAATCGGAATCTGATCTCGATATCAACGGAAAAGGGCCAAATATATCCCTATATTATAAGAAAAGGTTTAAATATACCCTTGGTTATACTCTGGGTCCAAATATACCCCTGTCGTTACCCACATAGCTTGCCACCTCAGCGCCCTAAACCCATTTACCCCTCACTTCTATTTTTTTCCGCCACTAAAATTTCTTTTCCCTCCACCACTATTGCCACCATTACCGCTACCATGAAAAAATAATGTATTTTAAATTTTAGTCTTTTATATATGAATTAGGGGCACTGAGATGGCATGCCACGTGGCATCCACCTCATCAACTATCAGTGCCACGTAGGATTGGATGTCCACCTTGGACAAACTTAATAGAAAAAGGGTATATTTGAACCAATAGTATTACGATGGGGGTATATTTGGATCCAAAGTATAACGAAGGGTATATTTAAACTTTTTCTTATAGTACAGAGGTATATTTGGCCCTTTGTCACGATATCAATAAAGTCAACTCTCGGTCAAACTTCTCAACCTTCCAAACCTTCAACTTTTCAACTTCCGCCAATTCAAGTCAAAACGAACTACGGACCTCCAAATTAATTTCCGGATATATGCCTAAGTTCAAAATCACCATACGAAACTATCGGAATTATCAAAACTCCATTCCGGAGTCGTCTACAGAAAAGTCAAACTCCGGTCAATTCTTTCAACTTAAGCTTCCAACTTTGGGACTAAGTATCCCAACCACTCCGAAACTCATCTGAAACCCAAACCAACCACCTGGTAAGTCACATAACCACAATAAAACATAGAGAAGGAAATAATTAGGGAAAATGGGTTAAGATACTCAAAACGATCGGCTAGGTCGTCACAAGTAGGCTTCTAAATTTTTGTGCAAAGTAGGTATAACTTCAATTGTAGCTCCAAAACTGAGTGTGGATACAAATGCCCACCTTGTCCCGAATAACTTCATTCCTAAGTCTATCCAACCTAGTATGCCCACACATCCATCTCAACATCCTCATTTCTGCTACTTTCATCTGCTGGACATAGGAGTTTTTGACTGACCAACACTCTGCCCCATACAACATAGTCAGTCTAACCACTACCTTAAGATTTGTGGAGTAATTTTTATTGATGGGCAATGTTAAACGATTCCATCTACTAACCATGCAAAATATATTTACAAACAATCAGATTAATACAAATTAACTGAATTTACTGTTTACAAATAAGAATATATACATCTTTTGTATGTATGCATGCGGTCAACTTACCATTCAAAGTTATCAAAATTAGCATTTGGCTAATGCAACACTTTTGAAGAGACCACCAAGACCACGTGTAAACATATCATCAAGTCCCAAATCACATAACGGACCTGTTCGAGGTCTAAAATCACATCAAACAACATCAAATCTATGCATCGTAACCCAACTCAAACCTATTGAATCCATGAACATTCAATTTCCAAAACTAACGATGAAACATACCAAACCAACTCTGAATGACCTCGAATTTTGCATTCAAGTCATAAATGACACAATAGACCTATTTCAACTTTCGGAATTGGAATCCGATCTCGATATCAAAGGAAAAAGGGCCAAATATACCCATGTACTATAAGAAAAGGTTTAAATATACCCTTAGTTATACTTTGGGTCCAAATATACCCTTGTCGTTATACTATTAGTTCAAATATACCTATTTTTCATTAAGTTGTCCAAAATGGACATTCAATAATATGTGGCATTGACATTTGATGAGGTGGATGCCACATAGCTTGCCACCTCAGCACCCCTAGCCCATTTTACGCCCCACTTCTATTTTTTTCTGCCACTAAAAATTTTTCCCCTCCACCACTATTGCCACCATTACCGCTACCATGAAAAATAATGTATTTTTAAATTTTAGTCTTTTATATATGGATTAGGGGCATTGAGGTGGCATGCCACGTGATATCCACCTCATCAAATATCAGTGCCATATAGAATTGGATGTCCACCCTCGACAAACTTAATAGAAGAAGGGTATATTTGAACCAATAGTATTACGATAGGGGTATATTTGGACCCAAAGTATAACGAAGGGTATATTTAAATATTTTTTTTATAGTACAAGGGTATATTTGGCCCTTTTTCGCGATATCAATAAAGTCAACTCTCGTTCAAACCTCTCGACCTTCCAAACCTTCAACTTTCCAACTTTTGTTAATTCAAGCTAAAACGAACTACGGACCTCCAAATCAATATCCGAATATACGCCTAAGTTCAAAATCATCATATGATGCTATCAGAACTATCAAAACTCCATTCAGGAGTCGTTTACACAAAAGTCAAACTCCGGTCAATTCTTTCAACTTAAGCTTCCAACTTTGGGACTAAGTGTCCCAACCACTCCGAAAGTCATCTCAAACCCAAACCAACCATCCGGCAAGTCACATAACCACAATAAAACATAGAGGAGGCAATAATTAGGAGAACATGGTTAAGATACTCAAAACGACCGGATAGGTCGTCACAGGTAGGCTTATAAATTTTTGTGCAAAGTAGGTATAACTTCAATTGTAACTCCAAAACTGAGTGTGGATGCAAATGGCCCGATAGATTGGTGGTGTAATTTTTATTGATGGGCAATGTTAAACGATTCCATCTACTAACCGTGCAAAATATATTTACAATCAGATTAATACAAATTAATTGAATTTACTGTTTACAAATAAGAATATATACATCTTTTGTATGTATGCATGCGGTCAACTCACCATTCAAAGTTATCAAAATTAGCATCTGGCTAATGCAACACTTTTGAAGAGATACTTACAATTTGCATCTATTATTATTTCCTTTGAATCATAAAATTTCATTGTACAATTCGTACAACATATATTTTCCCATTCAGTTTTCGTCCAATTTGGCAGTTCCACTAAACTCATAGGCCAAATGAAAATCCCCAGAAACAGATGAAAAAGAGAATAAGAAGCCCAACTTAAGGAAGGACAGCCACAAGATTTTTCCTTTTGCTCTTCTGATTTTAAAAAAACAAACAAACTGAAAATGCGCAAAAATTAATATTGTGGGTAAAGGTTAAAAAACAAAAAGAGGAAAATTTGTAGTAAGAGCTGCACAATGAAGAAGGTCCAAGTGTCAAGAACGTGAAATAATACGCGAATAGAGGAATTCATTCCAAGTGTCAGGCAATCCAGGGAGGCACCAATGGATACAATCAGCATAGGTCGCAGGATCAGCTTGTTGCTCAGGTGTTAGCATTTTGCCTTGACGAATTGTGTAAACTGATGTGTGACCATCTTTTCTGTACTCTGATAATGCTGTAATGTTTTGAAAATAAACTGGGATTTTCATTGATTCAGTCACATTTGCTGCTATCACAAACAGTCTCTTATCTGTTCCAACATCTAGTGGCATTGATGTGTTCAATATTGGTGTTGTCTCTTTAGCACATTTTATTCCATCAGGATTTTCCCAATCTAAACTCCTGTTTCACCCATTTGCACTCAAGAATTAGTATATTTATGTTTGTCAGCCAAGATTTAAAAGCAAAAGGGTAAGGGGAATTACTTTATATGAAGTGGAGACATGCTCATGAAGAAAACTTGGGTGCGATTTTGATTTATATTGTTATCGACCCATTGAGACCATGTTGTCAAAACTCTCCGATAAGCTATTGGTCTATCTATCTCGTCGTATTCTGTCGCCCCTTCATCGAATGATCCTCGCCTGTAAATATTTCTCACATCGTTAGTGCATGAATTAAACTCGATTGAATATTGTAGAGGAATAAAATGAAGGTGTTTACTTACAGGATTTTCATGCTGAAAGTGTTCATCCACCAAATGTAAGTGTTGAAGATGAGATAATCCACATTCTTCCAGTTGTTGCCATGCTTTTCAATAGATTCAGGCATGATTATTCTGTTCAAGATGCTATGCATATTTGGATCATCTGAGTTCGACTCCACCAGAAATGGGGCCCAGTAAAACTCCACTGTGGCATTATAATCCTGCATATATTCATATTATAAAACAGAAAAGTTTAATACACAAAGTCAATTTTCCAGGTTAGTGACAATAATCCAACCACTACAAGAGTTTTTCAACAGAAACAAACTAATTTCACCTATATTAGGTGAACAGAAAAGGCTTTAAATAGACGATGAATCTCTGTCATTACGTAGTGGCGACCTGTCTAACTAATCAAGATTATTTATTAAGCAACAGTACATCATTAAATTGAGACACAGTCAAAACTACAGTAGATCATGCTTAGTAGGATTAATTAATAAAGTACTCTGCATTAAGTCTTTAATTAATACTCTCTCCGGTCAGTCTTTTTTTTTTTTGGGTCCAAAATAAGTAATTTTTTGAGATTTTAAGAATGAATTAATTATTTTTTTCTATATTGTCGTTGGAGTAAATAGTATTAGAGTATGTGTTAGGAGTGTTTATGTGAAGAAAAAGTAAATGTTAATATAGTCAAATTCATTGTTAATTAATGTTAAAAGGTGAATTTCTTAATCTGTGTAAAACCAACCAAAAAATCACTTATTATGGAGCGGAGAGAATAAAGTACTAGCATTGAAGTTACATGAAAGTCTTTAATTGATAAAGTAGCATTAAAGTCTTATCAAACTAATAAAAGCAAAAACATAATTATTATGCTTGAGGAAAGTAATTATGAGATATCCATCTTTTGAAAAAATTAATAGAATTGATAGATTTACCTCAATTCTGAAAATAGATAAAGAGCCAGTCTTGTTTAAGCTTTTTCGGCCAGAAGGAACTGCGGATTGAACCAAACAAACCATAGATTCCCATTGATTTCTATTCAAAGAGTCTCCCACAAACATGAGTCTCTTGTTCCTTAGTTTCTCAAGCAGCAATCTTGGTTTAAACCTGAAATTTTAATAATTAACATAAATGGTATTTAAAAAATTGAAGAAAAGAATAGTAATTCAAGAAATTTCTTCTTACTTGGGTAAAGAACAGTCTCTGGGTTGCCACCTCCAATTCTGATACATAGAATCTTGTCTTCCATTTCTCAAACAAGTAACTTGAGCAGTGAGGAATTCACATTCATGTTCTTTGTAAATTGGGTGTGTTACATTATCATATACCCAATTCCCTACGAAAAGATCACAATTCTCAGGTGGCAATTCAATGTTCTCCTCTTCTTCTTCTTCTTCAACTGGCATTTCAATCTTCTGCTCTTCTTGCTCTGTTTCCGTTTCCTCTTCTTCACTAGACTTCAAATTCACAACTTCCTGTTCAGTACTAACGGCCTCTGTTTCTGTTTCAACTACAGTTCTTGAATTCATAACCACAGTTGAAACACTGCTTTCTTGAATCCCATTTTCTTGTTCAGTGATTTCTTGAGCTTTGGGTGTTGAAAATGGGAATTCTGCAATGGACTTAACGTCTTCATTGTACATGAAACAACCAAAGAGGAATATGGAGAAAACGACTACGAATATTGAGAGATTATTATTCTTACGGCCACTGTGCTGTTTCATGTTGAATAATTCAGGGGAAATGAGTGGCGTTTTTCGGCCGCGGAGTGAATGCATGAGAAAGAGTAAATGAAACACTGATGGGAAATGCAACTGCTCACAATAGGAAATATAGAGAAGGGAAAGAGTAATAACATCTCGAACTTCTTTTCTTTTTTTAATTAATACTTTTTTTTGTTTTTCTGTTAGGAAATATTTGATTTGGTAAAATGGGGTTTTCTGAAAGATATTGATTGTGGCTAAAGGGTTGTTGTCATTCTCAGATTTAGGTGTATTTGTTTGAAACTGCTGTGCTACTCCTGCTCCAGCAAACGAACAACTACCTTTGTTAGATGTGCGAGAGAGATTGGGAGAAGAGGAGTGATCTCAAAGCGTTATATTGATCTGTTAATTTAATCTTTCTGACTCTTGTTTTCCATACTCTTTTATAAGGACCCCACATTAAAAAAACAATTAAATGTATTTCGACCACAAAAGTAAGATTTCTATAGATAAGTTTTCTGTTATTGCAAATACTATACACTTTCAATGCACATACATTAAACTCGAAAAAAAACAAAATTAAATTCTTCTTTTGCCAATTTGGATGAAAACTCCTACTACTATCATTTTGAGTAGTCTTGTTGATATTTGGGGGATGGGAAAAAATTTTGATATTGGGGAATTTCCATGTAATTTGGATTAATGGCCACATTGAAATTTTGGGATAAACAAAATCAAAGATTATCATTTTCTTGTTATTTTCTTTATGTGTTGCTTAATATCCAGCGAGCTGTTGCACATAACAGAAAAAACAGACAAATAATCAGAAATTAGTAGAAACAAAAAGAACAAAATAGTGGGGTCGACATTTAAGCTGTTGTACTTTTAGCTTCTTTTATAATTTATGACGCTGTTGAACCACGAGTCCAATAAATACTCTAATAAATACAGATTACATATTCTTAGTATATCACCAAATAATATGTTTGTTACAATTTAGGGATCTCTGCTAATTAATGATCCCCACTTTATTTTTAGATGAGCGACTTTGAAACCGTGCGATCATAAATAAAACTTAGAGATCCTGTTCTTCTTTCGCGAATAAATAAACTGAATTTGACTACAAACTACAGTTGCATGCATGTATAAAATTAATTTATTCCTGGTTCTCTAAATAATTTTTATGTAATTAATATATAGATGATTAAATGAGCTTTCACTGTCACCAAACAACCCAAGATTTAGAAGTAGTTGATGTATCATTAAGGTTCTTAATCAATTAGTAGTTGAGGGTCAAAGTATATGAGGAATAATCGTTAGCTTTATGTTTGAGAAAAGTAAAAGCTACGGAAGCTTTTCTTTCGTATACACCAATAATTTTCAGAGGTCTATCACTTCTGTAGTTTGCTTCTCATTTCACTACTAGAGCATTTGTCTGACGGATGACCCATTGTATCCCTTTCTTTCCAAGTTAAGTCAAGTTCCAAATTTTGCAAATATTTTATTTGGCATGTTTTAACGTTTGGAAAAGCTAATAATGGGAAAGTGGAGGAAGAAGAGAAAGGTTTTTTTTTGAAAGTATTGAAAAAATAAATAGGATAGTCGTATAGGGTAAAATTAGTTCATATTAAATACTCGTATAATAGAGCGACACGTGGAACCGGAAACAGATGAAAAGCGAGACATGTAAAAATCAAGACCTCGTCTAAAGATCAACATGATTTTCGGGGGGAACGAGGTTAATGGTGTAACCTTTTCGGCAGCGAAAAAAATAAAGGTATCAGTGACCCATAGCAAGAGACTCTGGTAGTCGCCGAGGACGATATCACCTTCACGGAGGAAGACGCAGATGGACTCCTACTACCGCACAACGATGTCTTGGTAATTTCTCTTAATAGTCTAGATTTTACAATTAAACGTATTTTGGTGGACCTAGGGAGTTCAACCAATATTATCCAATGAAGAGTGTTGGAACAAGCCAAGCTGACCGGAAGCATCATTCCGGCCACAAAGCTCCTCGCCGGGTTCAATTTAGCAAGTGTGACTAACCGGGGGGAAGTCCTGCTGCCCACGAATGCCGAAGGGGTAATGAAGACGATCCTTTTTGAAGTAGTAGACGGTGATATGGCCTACAATATTATTCTTAGAAGACTATGGCTGCACGAGATGAAGGTTGTGCCGTCAACATACCATAAACTTCTGAAATTCCCAACTCCGGAGGGAGTTAAACAAATAATAGGAGATCAATCGACAACAAGGGAGATGAATGCGATCTCAGTTTCTAGTAGCAAAGGGAAGGAGCATGCGATATAGTAATTACAGGGACTGGCACCCTCTCCCGAGCCAAACGAAGTTAACATGGGGGAGGAGTCGTCAGAATCCTATCAGGTACCAAGATATTTCTAGGTACCAGAAGAAACGGATGCAACCAAATCCACAACGGAAGAACACGAGCAAGTCGCATTGTTTGAGAAATTCTTGGAGAGGAAGTTCCACTTGGGAACAGGATTAAACCCCGTGCTCAGGTCAGGATTATAGAATTTCTTAAATTTAATATTGACTGTTTTGCGTGCTCGCATGCTGATATGACAGGTATTTCGCCTGAGGTGGCCGTGCACAAGTTAAGCCTGGATCTTAACATCCCTCCGGTAAGGCAGAAGAAATGCCCTATTGCCGAGGTCAAAAATAAATTTGTCAAAGAAGAGGTAACTCGATTGCTTGATATCGGTTCAATCCAGGAGGTAAAGTATTCTGACTAGCTAGCTAACGTAGTAGTAGTTCCAAAAAAGAATAATAAATTTTGCATGTGCATAGATTATAAGGATCTGAATAAGGCGTGTCCAAAAGACTCGTTCCCATTGCCAAACATTAATCAAATGATTGATGCAATGGACGGGCATGAGTTGATGAGTTTCTTCGATGTCTATTCTGGGTACAACCAAATCAAAATGAACCCGGAGGATCAGGAAAAAACTTCGTTCATAAAAAACTTCAGCACATATTGCTATAATGTGATGCCTTTCGGGCTTAAGAATACGGGAGCCACTTATCAGAGGCTTGTGAATTAAATGTTTGAAAAAAAGAGAGGAAAAACCATGGAAGTTTACATAGATGATATGCTAGTTAAGTCTTTGAACACAGGTGATCATCTTAAACGCCTACAAGAAACCTTTGATATCCTAAGGAAGCACAACATGAAGCTTAATCCCGAAAAGTGTGCATTCAGAGTCAGCTCCGGTAAGTTCTTAGGGTTCTTGGTGTCACAAAGGGGGATCGAAGTCAATTCCGATAAAAATCAAAGCCATCAAGGACATCCCCGACAAACGTGAAAGAGGGTCAAAGGTTAATAGGAAGATTGGCCGCTTTAAACAGACTCATTTCTCGGTCTTCGGAAAAATGTCATCACTTTTTTTCACTTCTGAAAAACAAGAACAAATTCAAATGGACTCTAGAATGCCAACAGGCTTTAAAATATTTGAAAAGATATTTATTGAGCCCTCCATTATTATCGAAATCGGAGGAAGGCGAGCAGTTGATGATTTACTTAGCGGTCTCGGAGGTAGCAGGTAAGTGCCATTTTAGTCCGTTAAGATGAAGGTACGCAATCTCCTATATACTATGTTAGTAAAATATTAACGGGAGCGGAACTCACGACCCACATCTGGAAAAATTGGCCTTAGCTCTCGTAGTCGCCGCTCGAAAGCTTAAGCTTTATTTTTAATGTCATTTAATAGCCGTAGTGACAACCTTTCTCCTGCGGAATATCCTTCACAAACCTAAACATTCAGGTCAACTGGACAAATGGGCAGTCGAAATGAGTGAAATTAACATAGAGTATAAACCTAGAACTATGATTAAGTCACACATTTTGGCCGACTTTGTGGCCGATTTCAGTCCACGACTGCTGCCTTTGGCCACCAAAGAAACGGTGATGGTGTCGGAATCGACATCGGGAGTCTGGACCTTGTTCACTGATGGAGCTTCCAACGTGAAAGAGTCTGGGCTCGGTATAGTACTAATCACACCTTCAGGAGAAACCCTGAGGCAGGCCATAAGAATTGTTCCTTTAACTAACAATGAAGCCGAGTATGAGGATTTAATTGCAGGACTCGAGCTGGCCCGGGACTGGACTCCAAGGTCATGGAAATCAAATGTGATTCCCAATTGGTAGTAAATCAGTTCTACGGGATCTTCGACACCAAAGAGGTACGCATGCAACAATATGTAGTGAAAGTCCAGACTCTACTTGCACGATTCAGGGAATGGTCAATCACCCACATTCCGAGGGAAGAAAATGCGGAAGCAGATGCACTGGCCAATCTAGGCTCGTCCACAAAAATGAAGGGATCGGACTCCGATACGGTTGTACAGGTTATGCATTCGGTATTAGATATGGATGGTTATTATGAATTAAACGCGACCAATTTGGTCTAGTACTGGAGAAATGTGATCATTGACTATCTCGAGGCGGAAACTATCCGAAGATCCCAAGGCATCCCGGGCACTACGTACTAAAGCAGCTCGTTACTGCTTCAGGGGAGGCAAATTGTATAGAAAGTCTTTCCAAGCCCCCTTGGCCAGATTTTTAGGAACCTCCGAGGCTAATTACATCATGAGAGAAGTCCACGAAGAAATCTATGGAAATCACTCGGGTGCAGACTCCTTGGTATTAAAGCTAATTAGGGCAGGATATTACTGGCCCAGGATGGAACAAGACGCTAAGACATATGTTCAGAAATACAATATGTGTCAATGCCATGCGCCGTTGGTGAATCCACTAGCAGAACTATTGCACTCGATTTTGTCGCCTTGGCCATTCATGAAATGAGGGATTGATCTACGTCCAATCCACACTCAATAGTGAGTGGAAATGATCGTTGGAAGAATAATACCCAACAAGAGTCGGGGTCGATTTCCACATCGAGTTACTATGGGTGTTAGGAGTATATACTCGATGAAAATGAATGGAATAACTAAATTATTCTTCCAAGCAATAGGTTTTAATTTCTAATTCTAATTTTACTTTAGCAATTATAAGCTAAGGAAAGAAACTAAAAGCGAATCAATGTTTTTGGTTTTTTTCCACACAGTTAAAAATCCAAGGGATGTGACCATAACTTAGTTGTTCACCAAATGTGTTAACTATGCTAACACTTGTTTTGTTGATTGAAGTGTATTATAGATCTCAACTCTACGTTACCCACTTAATACCTCTCGTTCAAAGAGTGATTTTGCCCAATTTGGCTTTCTCAAGCCCAAATGGGTATCAAACTAAATAGTTGATATGAGCTCAAGTCGGGTTCTCACTATATCTAATTTGAACACTTTAATTAGTCTAATCAAATCCTGAATTAACCCAATTCCTTG